ACCCGGGTTTTAGTCGTGACGAGCGAAGGCTTTAACCACAAAGCTACCAACCGCATCTCACTACTGAAGAAATAATTGCTGTACAGTGAGTGAGTTGGGTTTAATGTCGCTTTGAACAGTATTTCAGTATTTCAGTGAAATCACGGCGTGTCGGGTTAATGTGGGAGGAAAGCCCGAAGTTACAAGCTGACTTATTATGCCTTCAACTTAGCAATACACTTTCATATGCAAAATTATTCGTTCATTTGGAAAGCAGAACAGGGTTTAATAGTTATATTTATTTTTTGCAGTCATGTTTCTTACATACAATTCAACAGTAATATTTAAGTGTTTGGATTAGCAAGTGTGTGAGGATTAATGTAAGAGATGGTATGAAATCGATGCTGTGTCCGTCTGAACTTCACCTTGATGTGTAGCAGTACTCGTTCATGTCCCGCATTTGTTATTATATGTTAAAAATAAAACTCGTGATATTCAGACAGTTTTATGATTTATTTCGTTATCGAAGCTGAATATATAGCGAATCTCCCTTATATATCAACCTTATCAACTCGTGATATATTTGATGTCAAAAGACACGAGGGGGAGATTTTATTTATCATCCAACATCTGTCTTTCAACTTTTTCAGTTTGTAGAGAGAAATAAGCAGTGTCTAAGTGTAAAAAGTACTGCTTACAGCTTTAGTAGCAGAGCCATTAGTGATATCATTTGATTGTGACGTCATGGTAACCAATGACGTCACAATGGTCTGCAAAGCATTGTGATGCAATTTCATTCCAGTGATATCTACAGTGTAGATATCGCTTGATCTCACCCAAGTGATATCTCCTGTGGGGGCCAGTTTTGGATGTTAAATGAGCTTCAACATTTTTTTTTCTATCAGATAAGAAACAAAGTGAGAAAAATCCTAATCCCTGCAAAAATCAAATTGGATAATATTTTCCATGCTGTTAGTCTAACCCATACTGTGATGACAAAGAGCAAAACATTTATACGCTAAGATAACAAAAAACAAAACAGCTACAGGCTCTGATGAGAAACAACAAAACAGTTATAGGCTGTGATGACAAAGAACAAAACAGTTATAAACTATGATGACGAACAACAAAACGGTTATAAACTATGATGACGAACAACAAAACAGTTATTAACTATGATGACAAACAACAAAACAGTTATACGCAGTTATTACAAAAAACAAAACAAGGATAAACTGAAAAGATTTACGTGTCACGAACATTAGTCTGTCATACAGACCCTGAAACAGATATATCCAAAATAGCCCATGCAAGTCTATGATAGTGGGCAAGTCTGGATTACTGCAGTGAAATGAATAGTCTCTTGGCTCCTTTTCATTATATATTATAAAGGTAATTTAACAACTGTTTTTTCTGTAGGAAATGTTTATTTCAGAGACTAGGTGTTAGTCTACAAGAGGGTGTCTGGGTTTTGATGAATGACACTGGGTCACCTAGTAGTTGAGGAGTTTAAAGACCTGTATGATTTACGTCATTGAGGAGTTCGATCACAGACCACTCGGGGTCGACTTCCATATGAGGCGACTATGCTTGTCGTAAGAGGCGACTATGCTTGTCGTAAGAGGCGACTATGCTTGTCGTAAGAGGCGACTAACGGGATCGGGTGCTCAGGCTCGCTGACTTGGTTGATGCATGTCATTGTATCCAAATTTCGTAGATCGATGCTTATGATGTCAATCACTGGATTGTCTGGTCTAGACTCGATTATTTACAGTCCGCCGTCATATAGTTGGAATATTGCTGAGTGCGGCGTTAAACAAACAAACAAACAAACAAACAAACAAACAAACGTACGTCCATATGAGTAAAAACATTGATATATGAGCATCTCCCAAAATATTTTACACGTAGATACATGTGATTATGCGGCGATAAAACACGCACACACACACACACACACACACATGCACGCACGCACGCACGCACGCACGCAGACACGCACACACACACTGTCATTTTTTAAATTTTAATTTTGTCAATGCTCTTAATGTACAAATGTCAAACCTGAAGTACTGTACCACAGAGCGACACTAAACTGAGCCAGTACTGGCTTGTCATTCGATCTATATATCACAAAAGAAAGAAAGTATATTTAGCCATCCCTTGAAATCGCTGCACTTTGACGTCTCACACAGACGATACAGGGTCGTGAGCATGGCACAACAATACTGCACGAGTAACCTCCCTTAGTCGGTCGCCCAGTTAGCTCCAGCTACCATCACTTTGCTTCTGTTGGTACTTTTACCGTGAAAACATTCGAGTAACATTTACATTTATGAAGCTCCGTACACCTATAGGATATAACATATATGGGTTATTCAGCGCATGTCCACATACAAAAATAAGAATAATTATTAATAGCATAAATATATATTATGGTGATATCGTCTTTTCCCAATGATAATTGCATATTATCGTATCACACAGGTGTTGCATCTATTCGAGATATGAATACCACATGTCACACATGACAGACGATCTGTTTTATGGTCTCTGGTGTAATGAACATCAGTATGAGGCACGACGTTCTGCCAGTTGCCATGGCAACATGTTCCTTCTGACTAAACGAAGACGCACCTATAGTTCTTCTTTACTTAACGAGGCACAGAGGGAAGGTTGCATGCATGACGCACGTGTGTGTGTCAACATGATCACAAGAATCTGTAGGGGCTCGGAGTAGGTTGGTTCTTAGCACTCTATTAGTTGCTTGTCGTAAGAAGCGACTAAATTAACATTATTAGTAGTAAGAACCCCAGACTGTTATTTACATGCCGACGTGGTTTACATGTGGCTGGAATATTGCTGACTGCGGTGTGACACACAGAAACCAATTATCTGTTTACATCAACACAAATGCATGTATTTGCAGATATGCAATACAATTAATTTAGTATGTGCATTTGTAAATAGGCTGTGCATATCCATGTCTATTTCATCAATATTTTCACTTTCTTCTAACTGTGCTTCGAATCCCGATTCGCCCCGATTATGTGTCTTGGTTTTTCAGCACCATACCTGTACTCGTGGGTTTCACAGTGGTAAACGTCTGAGACCTGCATCACTTCAGGCTTTCCTCCATCATGAAGCTGACACGCCGTGTTTTAAAAGAATACTGTTCAAGACGGCTTTTTAATGTGTGAACTCAATATACACTCGAGTCTATATATATGATATTTGGCCTTCTGGTGTACACATTCAGCATTCACAAGTATATAATTTTTAGACACTTGTTTTTTGTCATTGTTTATAGGCACCCAAATATGTAATGAATACCAACAAAGGCTTCACTCATCCCGTGGACATAAACTGGCCGGTCACTCACATGTCACAATGTCATTCATACAAAAACTGAATTTCAATGTGCGGCCATGGTAAACGTACTGTCATGTGCAGAGTTGTGTCCCTTAGACGTGCCAAGATTCGATGATCGCGGTTCGAATCCCATATCCGACCTGATTCTTGACCCTAGGTGTGTCAGCAACATGTCCGAGGGTTTCACCAAAGAGGTTAGTATCCACGACCGTCCTCATTTTGGTCTTTTCTCACGTTCAGCTCTCATGCCGTGATGGACAACAATAATAATGATGATGAAAATGATAATAATAACAGCTGACGAGAAAGGCTGCTCAATGTACCCGTGAAGATCCGCGGTAGAATAGGTCTTCAGCAACCCATGCTTGTCGTAAAAGGCGACTAACGGGATCGGGTGGTCAGGCTCGCTGACTTGGTTGATGCATGTCATCGATCCCAATTGCTTGGATCGATGCTCATATCAATCACTGGATTATCCGGTCCAGTTTACAGACCACCGTCATATAACTGGAATATTGCTGTGTGCGGCGTCAAACAACAAACAAACAAACAATGCGCTAGAATAATGAAAATAGCAATGTAAAGTTATGCATTGGACCTACAGCAGCTTGCTAACAGCTAGGTTTTAATGTGTATAGCTCTAACCTTGTCAAGACTGGGACAAATCGCGCTTTATGTTAGATCCAGAAGGACGGAGTTCCACTAAACTTGAATAATGTGACTTTGTGAGACAATATTCTTTTGCCAAATGTCTTGTACATTAATTAAACATACAATTAAGGTGGCATCTGCTCTCACTACCATGTAGCAATTGTCAGTAGACATTGCATCATGCATGCATGCATACTCGTTCCTATATTCATGTCTACAGAACACCGATACCTTTCAACGCGTGCTGGAAGACAGGCTCGACTGGTGTAGGCAAATCACAAGATTCACGCCGTACAGACGGCGATGAATAATGATTCATTTGAATACAGTCATTTTCCCTATAACAAATTGTTTACAACCATCTGTGCCATCCGGTCGATAAGTGTTCCTTTCATCTGTAGCATTTTCACATATTTCAATTAATTTTGTATTAACAATTAATGACGATAGTTGTGTTGTGACCCGTAATAAGATGATAAATAACGTCTTTAAAACAGAAAACATTGTTAAAATTAGAGCAACTTCGTTAATATGGTAAAATATATTTCGAATATATAAGCTCAAAATTATTTGAAATATTTGCCTATATGCTTTTACATGATAAAAAAAATAACATAAAAAGACTGCATTTTATCATTTTCCGACTTCTGGCACACCCCACATAGCTGATAAGCTTTCAAATGTTTCCATAATTGTAACGCGTTTAAACAAATCATATAAAGTTAAATTTAAATGAAACATACATCAGTGTGCGTTGAATGATCAATGCAAGTTCGTTGGCACAGAGAAGGGGGCGTGGCATGATCAATCTACACCAGGCGTTGTTGACAATAAACCATGACATCCTTTCTCTAGATTTCCAGAGTTGGCGGTGAACAGGTGTACAGGTCAGGCCAAATACGCGGACACGCACGTAATAAATCCTTTCACACAGTTGTACGTGCCTACCACACATTGTGTAATGACCTTCCATGAAGGTGAACCGTAGCTTTACATCTATTAGAGTTATCCGCCCTTGCTCAGCTGACGAAACAACACTCGGATGCTTCGTGTCGGGACGAAAATAGTGCCGGTTGTGTAAGGCAGGTTCATATAATAACGGTGCGCTGCTGAAGTCAGACACCAAAGACTGTGGCTGTAAGAAATAGACATAATCAACCGACTGCAAGTAGTAAGTAATTTTCTCTGCATCGTGTGCAACATCAAATTGACAAGATGGGCTCGCACGGAACAGACAAGGTTTTGACTTTAGAAACACTCAACCCGAATGTCAAGCTTATGGAGTATGCGGTCAGGGGACCTATTGTCGCACGGGCTAATGAAATTGATCAAGAAATAAAAAACGGAGCCCAAAAACCTTTTGAAAAGGTGGTAAAGGCAAATATTGGCGATTGTCATGCAACCGGACAAAAACCGATAAAGTTTATACGACAGGTGCTTGCATTATGTACGTACCCGGATCTGCTCGATAGTGAGGATTTCCCCGAAGATGCTAAAAGCCGGGCAAGGCGTATTTTGGGTGGATGTCGGGGAGCCAGCATTGGGTCGTACAGTGATAGCGCAGGAGTGGCAGTGATCAGACAGGATATTGCTGCCTACATCACCCAGAGAGATGGCTTTCCTTCCAGTCCCGATGACATTATCATGTCAACAGGAGCCAGCGATGGAATCAAGTCTATCTTGACACTGCTGCTGACAGGAAAGGGTGGAAGCGACCAAGCAGGTATCATGATCCCAGTGCCACAGTATCCACTATACTCAGCAGCCATTGCAGAATACAGTGCCTACCCCATCAAATATTACCTGGATGAAGAAAAGCACTGGGGTATGGAAGTTGACGAGCTGAGGAGAGCTATTGCTGAAGCTAAACCCTACTGTAAACCACGGGCGATTGTCATTATTAATCCTGGTAACCCAACAGGGCAAGTCCTGACCAAGGAAAACATCAAGGCTGTCATCAGATTCGCTAAAGAAGAAAACCTGTTTATTTTGGCTGACGAGGTGTATCAGCATAACGTCTATGCACAAGGCAGTGAGTTTTTCTCCTTCAAAAAAGTGCTCATGGAAATGGGACCGGAATACAACAAAATGGAACTGGCGTCATTTATGTCGGCGTCGAAAGGTTTCATGGGTGAGTGTGGCTACCGAGGAGGCTATGCAGAGGTCATCAACCTCGACCCAGAGGTCAGGACGCAGTATCTCAAGAGCATCTCTGCCAAACTCTGCCCGCCCATCTCAGGACAAGCCGTCATGGATGTCGTCGCGAACCCTCCAGTACAAGGGGAACCATCTTATGAACTGTTCATTAAAGAAAAAGAGGAAGTTTTGTCACAACTCAAGAAGAAAGCTCGCCTTGTGACCGATACTTTTAATTCGATTGAAGGCATCAAATGCAATGAGGTTCAAGGCGCCATGTATGCCTTCCCACAGATTTTCTTGCCCCCCAAAGCTGTCGAAGAAGCAAAGAAGAACAACAAGGCGCCAGATGCGTTCTACTGTTTCAGTCTCTTGGAGGAGACTGGAATCTGTACCGTTCCTGGGAGTGGGTTTGCACAGAAGGATGGAACTTACCATTTCCGCACAACCATCCTTCCTCCCCTGGAAGAGATTGAGCGGGTGTTGAAGCATTTCCGCACCTTTCACCTTCAGTTCCTCGAGAAGTATAAGTAAACAGGTAACTTGCTCTTTCCTTCCATAACAGCAGTGGTTTATGACTGAGGAGTGTTAGCTATAAGTGGTCAATGGTAGTACGGGCGGTCGGGTTGCCTAGTGTCTGCGCCGAAGACCCGGGTTCGATTCCTGACATGAGTACAATGTGTGATGCCCAGTTCTGGTGTCCCCCGCTGTGATATTGCTGGCATATTGCTAAAAGCGGCGTAAAACCACACTCACTCACTAACCCCTATGGTAGTACAGATGTGTCAGGATAGAATGGGCCTGGATCTTAACAATGCTTTTTGTGTGTTTTGTTTGTTGTTTAACGCCACACTCTGCAATATTTCAGCTATATGATGGCAGTCTGTAAATAATTGGGTCAGGACCAATCCAGTGATTGACATCATGAGCAACAATGCACACAATTTATACATGACATGCAATCAACCAAGTCCCTGAGTCTGACCACCCAGTTCATTTGATCACCTCTTACTATCAGCATAGATTGCTGTGGACCTACCGTATTCGACGTAATAAGCGCCCCGCTCTAATAAATGCCCACAGTGATTTTTCCTAATATATTGGCTAGTGAACAATCCCAATTAGCACCCCTTCTGGTTGATCAATGTACAAAAGACTTATTTATTTGCGTAAAATACGCACTCATGTGTTATATACACCCTTAATTATTGGCAATGAAATTCTGGAAAAATATATCTGTTGTATATAAACATTTCAGGCTCTCAGCATAAACCATGAAATTTATCTTTTAACTCTTTTTTTTTCTTCACAAAATTAATATTCTAATAAGAGCTCCCTGTTTCTAATTTTGAGAGCGCCCTGGGTGCTTATTACGTCGAATACAGTATATCGATGCCCGGAATCCCCACGGGTGCTTTACAAAGCAGTTGTACTGTGACAGTCATATTATTTATTTCCTAATATCCTTCAATAGTAACATAGATTTACAACACTTGAAAGATTTATCTGCACCTGCTCAGGGGCTGATATTTGGCACCAAGCCAGCAATAAATGTCAGTAAAAAATTCCCACATAGGAATTAAAAAATTCAGAATTCGTATTCGTGATGTTATAAGTTATTATATGGCTTCTTGGAGGTTTCATGTATTTGACAAGAGGGCCAACATTGAGTGAGAGGCTTTGATGAATAGTTTTACATCATTGCATTGAATGTAATGTTCAGATTCTAACTTGATATACCTCTGAATTTCAGATATGAAATATTTAAATGACAATTTTGAACAATTTGCACTTAGTTTGGAGCCTAGATAAATGTTTGCGAGTTACAAAGCATGGATGGTTTTCTGATATAGGGCCCTGGGTGCCGTTGTACAAAACAACATTAGGGCTATGATGGTCGTAAGCCTATGTTAAAGTATGGGAGTTACGGCCACCTTCGCGCTAAGATCGCTTTGTACAACGACACCCTTGTCCATTGACTTCAGAATTAAAAATATGATCCTTCATTTGTTTGTAAAAGATGGCCCTTAGCCCAGTGGTTCTGATACCTATGTCCTCGTCATCACCATTATTCATACTTCATAGACAGTTTTTGTTTGTTTGTTTGTTTGTTTGTTGTTTAATGACACACTCAGCAATGTACCAGCTATATGACTGTGGTCTTTAAATAATGAAATCTGTGCCATCACTTAATGGATATGCGTTGACAAGCAGTCAACAAAGTCTCTGAACACCCGATGCATTAGTCGCCTCTTATGACAAGCATAGGTTCCTGTGGACCTATATTCCATTTGAGAGGTCTATAGATAGTGGAACACTTGACCAGTGAGGTGAGGTGAAATGGGATTTAATGTCGGGTCCAAGATTATTTCACTTATATAGCGACGTGCATGTACGTGTGTGTGTTTGTGTGGCTGCTTGTACTTCTCCGGACTGATGCCTGTTTTATAGTGCTAGCTCACTGAGATACCATGCCGCAGTTTAACATGAATGCCCCACTCAGACACAGTATACTGACTCCGAGCCGACCAGTCCTTGTTTTAGCCCCTTAATGCCGAGCGCCAGACAGGGTAACAACAAGTACCATCTTTTAACGTCTTTTGGTATGATGCGGCCGTGGATCGAACCCCAGACCTTCCGCTCTCCAGGCAGACGCTCTACCACTAGACCACGGAGGCGGTCCTTCAAGAGAGAGCGTCAATGTGAAGCAATTCTAACTTGCGAGGTGGCATCTGTTACTTGCTAACAAATAATACATGCATGTTTATTATGTTTTAAATTCAAATCATGACCTTAGGCATGATCATGGCGTTCCATCATGTCCTGATTAACATATAACATCTATATATTATGTTCAGTTTAATCATATATAACTGTAAGGCCACAGGCCCATAGTACAGAATCATGACAACGTGGAAGCAGTTAAAAATGTTACAAGGATTCATTTCTTAATAACATGGCATGATATATAAATAGAGATAGATTTTGTATAGCCGTTTTGCTCACATGTGATATTAAAGAGATAAACTTGTATTTATTTGGAAGTACATAGTATTTTTGTTCAATATATTTTTTACTTATATTAGCATATTAACAACATACAAGTAAAGAGTGAAATTCATCTTCCACGACATTTAAAGAACATTGTCTACATAATCTTAAACATGTTGGTTTTTCTTTATGCCTGCCAACTTCAACCATTAACCTTTGTGAGCTGCATCTAAATTGTGTTAATGATATTCTGCATTTTCTTATATTTACATCAGTTAAATAATTTTCTGCACATATTTGCATTTTAAGATATCAATAATATTCGCGTTTGCTAGAAACATCTACAGTATTCTCCATGTTTGAAAGGGGCGGTCGGGTAGCCTAGTGGTTAAAGCGTTCGCTCGTCACGCCGAAGAGCCGGGTTCGATTCCCGACATGGGTACAATGTGTGAAGCCCATTTCTGGTGTCCCCCGCCGTGATATTGCTTGAATATTGCTAAAAGCGGCGTAAAACCATACTCACTCACTCACTCCATGTTTGAAAGTACATGTCAAAAAGCGTCTGCCGTATTTTCGATATGAACATGGCATGATTCTCTAAGAAACATTGGTTGTCCCAGATGTAACCATACCCACATTTATACAGTAGACATTTAACATTGTTTGCCCAATTTGATCTCCATTCTTTTCATACAATAGCATCATATTATAACATTCTTTTGGTAATATACTTTCTGGCATTTTTAGTAATTTTAACCAATATCTTATGATTTTCATATAGTGATATATATTCAAGGGCATGCGACCACATTCACCATAAACCATTACGTTAGAAGTACTGTGTTTAACACCAAGAGGGGCGGTCGGGTAGCCTATTGGTTAAAGCGTTCACTCGTCACGCTGAAGACCCGGGTTCGATTCCCGACATGGGTACAATGTGTGAAGCCTGTTTCTGGTGTCCCCCGCCGTGATATTGCTGAAATATTGCTAAAAGCGGTGTAAACCGTACTCACTCACTCACTTTAACACCAAGAAATCTTATACAAGTGTATAAATGTACGGATTCAATTTCTTTTGCCTCTGCAAAACCAAATATTTCCAAACCGTAGGAAAAAATAGGAGCTATTTTTGTGTCCAAAATTTTGAAGAAAGATTTATAAGCACAGTCGCTAAAATGTTCAAACGTTTGTAAAATTCCCAATAACATCTGTAACTGAAGCCGCAAACTGTGTCTACAATGTATTTATCATTAATAACATTTCATGTGTTGAGTTTCTAATCATCTCTGGAAATGACTTGAAAAATAAATGAGAAATTCAAACTTCTGTTAACTGAAAGGCTGGTGTTTCCTATATCAATTTATCAGGTTTAATGTTTGGCAATAATCTATTTTATAACTCATTTTCATATGTCTACATGATCCATGAACATGAACCATGATGAACCTTTACAAAGCATGTCAGGAAAAAAAAGACATTTCAGTTTAACACGTGTTTTAAGCTTATATTATCTGATTATAAATACCAATCATGACTATCACACTTATGAAAACAATTTAAACATATTTCCCAGCCTGGCCGTGCTGACACAGACAAATATGATACATCATCAATGACCTGTAAATGTCATCTTCCCGAGGAGGCAAGGGCGTTAACTGTCTATAAAAGTCCAGTTTCCACCCCTGCCAAACTAGGCCGGAATTTCAGAGTTACATTTTGGCTGGACTGCGAGTCAATGCATAGTCCTATCAAAATTGTGTTAACCACATCGACATCCGGTTCATCTGTTCATAAACAACATGGCAACCACCGTGCAGATATCGGTTGATTACAGGATCTGTACAGCAAATACCTGTCAATGTAGATGCTAATGGTATTTCATTAACATGGTCGTTTAATTCCATGTATTATGTATACGATTTCGTGACAACAGTGAGCTGACATGAATTATTAACACACATATCACTGTTGAAAATGGTGTGTGTGTCATTGTTTACATTTCCCCGATGTGACGACCACTTTCGAGTCTCAAAACAGCTTAAATAATGTTTTCTTTCACTAAAAGTAACAATGGACATTATTCTTGGGGGTATACATTGCAAGAGCATTCATGGAAACGTTAAGAAAAAACTTTAACCACCCATTCTAGCGTTTTTCTACAGTAAATACATGTCGCATCCGCCATGTTTGTTCGTCTAGTGGAGGCAGGCATTATGCAGTCATTGCCTGGGTCAGTGTAGCGTCAGCGCAGCATACCCCGGGAAACAGGCTGGGAGGGACATAGAAGGGACATAACTCATAGCCACTGGTAGCGCTGCGATCGAGCCATGCCTAATAATTAAGTACGGCAAGGGTGGAAACTGGACTTTTGTAGTCTGTTAATTCCCTTGCCTCAGGAAGATGGTAATGTTCACTCAAATACTGTTGTTAGCTTCACAGATATTTTTTTGCATGAATAACCAATGATAACATTTTTAAAAATTACTTGCAGTGTGATCAGAATAATGAATTATTTTGTCTCTTCCTACTGACCCCATCTTTTTACTAA